CTACCCTCCCCTGTCGGCGGTCACATTTTATTGATTCAAATTTGTTCAAATCATATTAATCCCCACCCCCTTTAGGGGTATGTAGGGACCTCATATGCACTAAAGTTTTTCAATACTGAACTGATTTTTGCTTTTTTCCTAGCCACAGTGCTCAGGTGAGCGATGTGGCCCCTGGGCCTCTTATTAAATGTAGTCATGTATTTTGGCATCTTACAACTCTGAAGATACACAAGCTTGTTCATAAATTTTTATAAACTCAAATAAGCAAATATTTCTAGCAGAATGTAATGATATGGCAAAGGAAAGAGGCACTGAGGAATATTAGAGTCACACAAGTCCCCTCGGTCATTTACCATTCTCCATATGATATTTTGGTCAGAGAGTCAGTTTTTAGCTCACCTCGACGAAGTCGAGATGAGCTTATGCTATACCCCAGGCGTTGGCATCGGCGTTAGCGTCGGCATCCGGGTTAAAGTTTTAGGATCTGACCTAGATTTTCCAGATGAGTGACCAGGTTAAAGTTTTTGGAGCAGGTACCCAATTATAAGCTCTACCTGGACCAAACCTGCATGGATGATGCATCAAAGGAAGGACACAACCATACTTACTTCAGATGCTGGATCTGACCTACATTTTCCAGATGAGTTACTAGGTTAATTTTGAAGCAGGTCTATTCCCAAGTGATTATTTAAGCCTTACCTTGACCAAACTTGCATGGATGATGCATCTAGGGATGGACGCTACCACACTTGCTTCGGATGCTGGATCTGACCTAGATTTTCCAGATGAGTGACCAGGTTAAAGGTTTTGAGTAGATACCTAACTATAAGCCTTACCTTGACCAAACTTGCATGTATGATACATCTAGGGATGGACACTACCACATTTGCTTCAGATGCTGGATCTGACCTAGATTTTCCAGATGAGTGACCAGGTTAATGTTTTTGGAGCAGGTCCATTCCCAAGTAATTATAAGCCGTACCTTGACCAAACTTGCATGGATGATGCATCTGGGGATAGACACTACTATTCTTGTTTTGAAGCTGGGTCTGACCTAGATTTTCCAGATGAGTGACCAGGTTGAAGTTTTTGGAGCAGGTCCATTCATAAGGAACTGTAAGCCCTACCTGAACCAAACTTCCATGGATGATGCATCTAGGGATGTACACTAACTAACCTGCTTCAGATTCTGGATCTGACCTAGATTTTCCACATGAGTGAATCTGAACCAAATTATCATGGATGATCTAGAGATGAACACTTCCAGACTAGCTTTGGATCCTGAATCTAATATTGATAGATATTAATCTTGGGATGTACACTAAATATGATGTGAGATTTGCCTTACTTATAGATAACGTATGTTTTTTTAGACTCAAGTGATTTTCTCCGATCAAGAATCTTTGGGCCAATTTCAATAGAACTTGGCACAGAGTATCCTTGGGTGATAGGGATTAAAGTTTGTTCAAATAAAGGACCACAACCTCTTCTAATGGAAGATGACTAAGAAATAGTGAAAATTGGGAGGGTGTTTTTAGAAATCTCAAGAAATCTCAAGAATCACTGTGCTAGAAAAGAGGAAACTTATGTGAAAGCTTCTTGACATTATGTAGATTCAAATTTGTTCAAATCATCAGCCCCAGGGGTAGGATGGGGCCATGATGGGTAATCAAAGTTTTATATAGAAAAAATTAGAAATATATAGGAAAAATCTTTAAAAATCTTCTATTCAAGAACAGCAGAACCCTGGTAATTATTTGGAAGTATCCTCATGTTGTGTAGATTCAAGATTGGTCAATTCATGACCCTTGGGGGTAGGGTGGGGCCACAATGGGGGATCAAATAAGAATATTTGGAAAATATCGATCTTTAAAAATCTTCGTTTCAAGAACAGCAAATCCATGATAAGTGACTCTGATCTGGAAGCATCTCAGGTATTTTAAATTCAAGTTTGTTCAAAACCAAAGCGCGGGGGGTAGGATGTGGCCACAATGGGGGATCAAAGTTTTACGTTGGAATATATAGGAAAAATATTTAAAATCTTCTTCTGAAGAATAGCAGTCATAATAAATCATATTGACATGGAAGCATCCTCAAGTAGTGTAGATTAAAGTTTAAAATCATGACCTCCAGGGGTAGGGAGGGGCCACAATGGGGGAATCAAACTTTTACATAAGAATACATAGGAAAAAATCTTCTCAAGAACAGGAAAGCTATATTTAAGGAATAACTGTCTTATTTTTCGAATTCATGAAGTGATCAATGGATTAGCTTGTGTGATAATTTGCATAAACGCCGAAGGCGTTTATGCATAAAATTATCACACAAGCCAATCCATTGATCATCTTCATGAATTCGAAAAATCTGATAGTTATTTCTTATATTTACATGCTTTGATTCCGCCAATCCACGGGCTCCAAGCCTGCTTCTCTCTAGGTGTTGCCCCGCCCTGCACGTGTTTTTTTTTTTTTTTTTTTTTGGAACCGCACCAAAACATTCATGAAGAAATAAATTACATTTACAATTGGTAATTTTATCTCGGACAAAGACATTGGAAATGTAAATATTTAGTCATATTGACATAGAAGTATCCTCATGTAGTGTAGATTCAAGTTTTTCTCATATCATTTCAATTTCATTTTACCTTTATTTTTTTTAACTCTCCCTCGCCCTCTTTTTCGTAAGACAGAATCTTTGACTTCATGCTTCAAAATAAGACATTTTTCATTTTCGGATTTTCCTTTTACATTTGTATTTCCCTTTTTCGGAACCCCTTTGCTCTTTTAAATGCCCATTGAAATGTATTTTAGCGTCACTGTAGCGACTACGACAAGAATAGTCTCGTTCAACCAGATACTCGGCTGTCTCCGTAAATCTCCGACCAGCCAGAGGTCTGCTGGTCGGAGTTTACGGAGACAGCCGAGCGTCTGGTTGAACGAGACTACGACAACAAGTAATTTTCAGGTATCCTGCGGGGATTTTATCTTTTGAAATCGCAATAATATTGAAGAATTCAATAATGCAAATGTGAATACAATGAGCGATCTCCTTTTTTGGTTACGTTCCTCGTAAGATGTCGGTATTTCTCTACTGAGGGATTTATAGGAGGTACTTGCCTATCCATCCTTAACTAGATTATGGGATATTCAAGTGTCTGTGACTAAGAAGTTTATGACTCGAAAACATTAGAAGATAACCTCTCCATCCTTATCTTGATTAATTGTATTTTTGTGTCCGTGACTAAGATGTTTAAGAAGGAATACCACACCAAAATTTTATTTCAGACTTTTACGACATCCCTGATGAGTAGTGGTTTCAGCATAAAAAGGACAATATAAGCTCTTAATTATTTGATAAGAATTTTTTTCCCTATTTTTCATAGAAAACGAAAAAAAAATATTTAATTAGCAAATAAGACGCTTTAGGGCTAAAAATTTGTTGTAAATGAATGCTTAATAAGAAAATCTAATAAGATATGTTAATAAAAGCTGGATAGGCATTTTAATTGTTTATTTTTGAATAAAAAAATATTTATAAAAAACCCCACATAATTTGTGAATATTTTTTAAACCTATAGTTAAAATCTTCATAAAACTAGTAACAACTAGGGAGAATATGTTAGTCAATCATATATAAAAAGAAATTAAATTGCGAAATATTAGAGAGATTATTTTTTTTTTTTATTTTGTCCAATCCTGATCGAAATTAAACTGATCCCAACCAGAATTTTGTAATAATTGGAAATAGATAACATTTTCTCAAAAATATAATGTTTTTTTTTTAATCGGGGGTGTTCATATACTACTTAACTTAAGATTGTGTGCTTGTCAATTTATCTACATGTATAACCTTGCAATAATTTAGTTACCTGAATGACTTAATTGTAATACATTTCTACCGAGTGAGTAAATCTATCACCTTTACGTATTCTTTACCATAACATTTACCTCTCATAACGCAAGCAGTAGCCTTAATTGTGCAATCTATGTTACTTTTTATTGTTTAATATCAATTATACATTACATTTACGTTTTCTTCCTTACAAGCTTAAATAATGTTGATACCGTCAACATATATAAATGTTCACAAGAATGATTGATCTGGAAGGTTTTTTTCCTAACTAATTTGGCTTGAAGGAATGTCATAGCTTGCATCAAAAACTTCTGGAGGCTCTTCAGTTTCTGAAATGAATAAGCGATTTTTTTTTTTAGATTTTGAAATTAATAAAAAACAAAAAAAATGTTTTGATAGAATCCACTCTAATATAACTTTCTCAAAAAAGGATTTTTTTACTAGGCTCTGTGAAGAAAACTGACAAGCTTAAAAATATTATTGCTCTACAAATCAAATATTACATTTATCTGTACAAATGTACAAACAGAAACATTTCCTTAGTTCGGTTGATATCCTTTATCAAGACAATGTATGAATTACAAAAATATAAATCTTATAAAAATAATGAAAGAGAATCTTTTGATGAAAGCTGGAGACCTATGAAAGACCTTTTTTCATAATACTCTTTCAACTCTCTCTCTCTTACTTTCTTCTCTCTTTCTCTCTCAGTTTTTTTTGTAAAAAGAAACCATTGAAAATGCAATAAGTTATAAAAAAAAAAAAAAAGTTTTCTACTTGTAGTTTCAGAACAAAACCTCAGACATTGTTTAAAGGAAATAAAATGAAAATTATTATTTCTGTCCTCCGATTTAGTGCAAAAACCTAAGGGAGTCGACTGGGGTTAATTTTACACCAAATTTAACTTACATTGACTTCAGTGTACATGGCAAGTTTAGGGGTAATCTACGGTCAGGGTTTTTTTTTGGGGGGGGGGGGGGACTTAAATTATAATATGTGATGAGTAATACGATATTCTACATTATATGTAAGAAACACAAAATTCTACCATATGGTTCCAGAGGGGGCATCTCAAAATGTCAAAATTAACGAATTTTTCCAGATTTTATGCAGTATTACAGGATATGACAGATAGAATACATAAATAACAAAAAATAGTTGTAAGATTCTTTAATTTCTGTATTTTTAATTTCAAGAGCTTATACTTTATACTTTTTCTTTTATAACATTTTTATGACACCCTCTTAAAGAACTTCAGTTTATCATTACGTCACAAACACACTATTACGTTGAAAACACAGTATAACGTTATCTTGAAGAGTTTAGAGAAGTTATTTTTGAGTAAATTACCAGTTGAAGAAGGATCAGGGTTAGGGTTTTCCTCGACCTCAGGCCTATCAGTTTCTGTCTCCCCAGGTCTCTTAGCTTCTGTCTCCCCAGGCATATCTGCTTCTGTTTCCCCAGGTCTCTTAGCTTCTGTCTCCCCAGGCACATCTGCTTCTGTCTCCCCAGGCACATCTGCTTCTGTCTCCCCAGGTCTCTTAGCTTCTGTCTCCCGAGGTCTCTTTGCTTCTGTCTCCCCAGATATATCTGTTTTTGTTTCCCCAGGTCTCTCAGCTTCTGTCTCTGCTAATTGAATTTTAAAAAAAGAAACAATCGTAAGTTGCGGATGTTACATCTTTAGGTCAATATGATCATTTATTCTTTCATTTCACACATGTATTTTTTGTCACACATGAATGTCAAAATTCAGGGTTAGAATCTTTAAAAGTTAACTAATTTAAAATATGATATAACAAATGTGCAATCGGAAAATTCAAAGGACAAGAGTTATATAAAATACCTGCATCCGATGGGATGGACATTTTCTTTTGCTGACTCATACTGATCAAAATTAAAAGAAAGATATAAGCTAAAAAACAACTTTTATCTTTTCTTACTTTCAATCAAACTTAAGTATATACACCCCCTTTTTTCGCCATCTAAAAAAATCTTTCCATCTTCTAAAAATTACCTTTCTAAATTAGTTTTTGATATCTTAAAAAATTATTTCTATTTAAATATAAAAGACGAGCTAAAAACAACTTTTATTTTTTCATCTTTCAAGGCATCACAAAATCGCTAAAATTACTTCTCGCTTAAACATGTTAGGAAAAATTGCTAAATTTGTGTCTACCTAAAAAATCCACTTTTATGCTATTGTTACTTTAAGTACAACTTCAACACACGAATATTTCACGTGTACTTAAAAGCTTTATATTCATTCATTCTCACAGTAAAGTACCTCGCAATTTGCTGGGGTACCTAGAAATTTATTTCACGCACTCCGGACACGGGCGCTAATTGACGCTTTAGATACGACCATTCTTTTTTCACATACACACATCACGCACATTCAATAACAACTAATCTAGCATTAATAAAGCAAATTGAGCAATTTCAATGAGAATTTCAAGTTCTTCTGTACAAATCTTTGACTGTCACAATTTGGAATACTAGTATAACTTTGTCAAAGTTGCGCAGATCATCTAAATTCGGAAAGCCGTAATAAAACACTTTATAGAGAAATGTTCAAGAAAATATGAATAGCAAATACTGATTTAACTGAAATTTTCATATTACATAACGATATTTAGAACACAGATTCCTATTTCAAGAATAGTTGCCCATTTTGCTTTAAGTCTTACAAACATGTTAAATTACAACTTAAAATCCTAAGTAAGATTTCATTTTACCAGTTTTTTTTCCTTATCTAAAGGAATTCTTAAATACAATCTGTACTAATGCTTTAATTTCGCATCAATAATATTTAGTTCTTAATTTCTTTCTTAATAACCTAACGATGAAATATTTTGCCTACCTTTTTCACGTCTTCTTTTTTCCGCTGTCTGTGAAATTATGCGCTTACCCTATTCAAAGTCTGCACGCGCTCAACGTGTTGACCTAAGCATTTCACACCTGTTGCGGATGTCATCCTTTTCACAAAGCCAGCGAGCGCTCTTTGATGACTTAAGATTTTCACACTTACAGCGGGTCACGCTATGCACAGCGAACGGATGAGTTAATTAGTGGTCTGAACTTGTTTTTAACCTGCGCTGATGTCTTGATAATTTTTCAAAGATTAAAGTTGATTTTTTTCATCTATCTGATTTTTCTTTTCCTTTTTTTATCCAATAAAGTTTTTAAATCTATCCCTTTATTTTATAGATATTTCTAGTGCTTGAACATCCAAAGTCAGTTAAAGTGCCCCAAACAGTTTCAAAAAACGGCTGAAGATTTTCAACTCAGAAAACAAAGGAAATGTTTTGATTTTGATAGAACAATATTCGAATGATCAGAAAACACATATGATAGCTCTTGAAAGGGGGTATTATATTCTGCACACATATGGAACAAATACAATGTAATTTTAGCAGTGAATTACGTTATTTCTTAAGGTGTTATCAAAAAAATTAAATACATTATTATTGTAGATTCAAAATGGTGTTTCAAGTAGTTGTATTTGATAGAGATATATATAACTATCCAATTAAAAACTGCAGTGCAATTGAAAATTTACCATATATTGAAAAATATTCCATATTTACACATAGTTAATGTACGAAAAATTAATAATATGGATTTTGAGAAAATGACATCTTATTTTTTCTTTGTTTAAACTCACATACTCAGATTAACAAAGAAGTTTGTATGTGTTTGCAGATGTATACCTTTTATATAAAGACTCTCAAGTTTTTACATTTTGGAATTCAAAGTAAACGTTTATTTTGAGACAGGAGCAAACTGTCTTCTTTGTAACGTAATTCACATTCATCCATAAAATGAAAACTAATGATTATTATTGGTTGAATAACACCATTTTTACAAACTAAAATACAGAAAATGATTATAAATACTGCAATATCTTTGCAATAGACATCATAATTATATATATCTAGATTGTTATCATTGTAAAACATCACATTTCACACACCTTGGTATTTTTCAGATGAAATCAAAAGCAGTATATTCTGAAAGTGCAGAATTACTACGGTACATGTACCTATTACAGATGATTTAAACATTATATCTACACGATTTCTGGCGTTGCACTTAAGTTTGGTGGGATTAAGCATCAAATTATATTTCAAAATCAATCTGTATTATAAAACAAACAATGTAACGTAATTCACATACCAGATTGTAAGTGTCAATATGGAAATAAATGTTTAAAGTAAGGAGAATTTTCTTATTTAAGTGTGTTCTATTTAGTTCTTTAAATAAATTTTGGACCTTTTCTAGACCCTTTTACTATTAAAAAGATCTGTTTATTCCTGTACTGAGATGAGGCGATTTTTGGGTTAATTCTGAAGTTGGTACATAAAACTTAATTTTACACGTTAGACCTCTTTTTCCAGGTAGTTATCTCCTTCTTTGGCCTTTACCTACCACCGATATTTCTTTTGGGGCTCAGCATTAATCATTTTAGTCATTATCTAAGATTAAAACTGTAATTATGTAATGTGTGAATTACGTTACACTGTTGTGGATTACGTTACACTATTATACAGACCTTGCCTGATGTAAACACCGAGCGAATCAATGTTTTATATTTATGATATCTTAGTAGAACATATATCCTTCATTTTCAAAACGAAATTCCTATAACACTATGAACGATGAGATAGTTTTATTTATTTAAAAATAAAATTTTCAGTTTTAAGATAGTTTTTTTAAACCGCTGCATTAGTCAAACCCGTTCCCGCCTTTAAACTTCCTTTCTATAAGTTCCTATATGATAAGTGATGACATTGAATAAAGATTCATGGTAATTTTGCTCCTAGTTAGGATTCTTTTATAACAAAAAGAAAATTGATCATAACGTAATTCACTGTAACGTAGTTCACGAACTTCGACTTTAATTCAAATATTTAACTAATGACAACAGTTTAAGGCATTGTCTATGTGTGATTTATAATGGGCATAAGTGTGTATATCAGTCAGGAGATTTGATGTTCGTAGCATTTTGGAATTGTGTGTAAGATCACGTAACGTAATTCACAATTAAATGCAAAAATGGAAAATTTTCAAAATTCGTGAATTTTTTGATACAGATGTTATCATATGCCTGTAAATCATTATTCTTTTTTATTTTGATAAGTTAATAATCAATTTTAGCCATGTAACGTAACCGTTAATGCCACTTACAATTTCGTTAAAGCAGTGAGAAAATCGTAACGTAATTCACTGCATTAAATGGGACATTCAAATTACGCAGTGCAAAATTTTTTTTTTGGATATCGCAGAGAAATTATAAGTAAAAATGAGTTGTTTAACCCTTTTTTTGTTATAATATACAATATTTAGCATTTTTATTGGTAATCCTAAATTATTTTTTCAAACCTGAATAAAACCACCCTTGTTTGTGACACCCTGTTTTGATAAAATTAGGCTTAGAAATCCTTTACATTTGAATAGTAAACGGGATCAATACATCGTAATATCTATATTTTTAAATCGATCATACCTTAACATCACATTTCAACCACTAAACAACTGAAGGTGCGGGTTTTTGTCCTCAAAAACTGTTTGTGACATCGAAAACTATTTTTGGGGCACTTTAACTGACTTTGGATGGCTAACGCTTACAACAATGAAGTTTAAGAAAAATAAGATCTACAGTAGATTGATTAATATCCAAAGTTTTTTTTCAATTTGACGTTAAAGTGGCATTTTGCAATAATAAGCACTCTCGAAAAATAAGGAATCTATAGTTTTGGGGAACTTGAATCTGCATTTTTGACCTAATTGAAGAAATTAACAATAACAAACTTAAAAAAAAAATTAGTGTGTTATTACAGTTTGGTTAATCTAGACGCAAATGTAACAAGAAAACCGTAAAGTGGAGCATCCAATCGCATATTTATGAATCAAGGCAGGATTCGACATCAATCCCGATGCAAATTACGTTTCTGCATTTTTGACCTAATTGAAGAAATTAACGATAATAAACTTTTTTTTTTTAAAAAAAGTGCATCATTTCAGTTTGGTTAATCTAGACGCAAATGTAACAAGAAAACCGTAAAGTGGAGCATCCAATCGCAAAGAGCATATTTATAAATCAAGGCAGGATTCGACATCAATCCCGATGCAAATTACGTTTCTTCCGTTTTATACAGAATTAACTCACTCACCCATAAACAAACATACACGGTTGCATTACTACCCCTTTTCCAACTCCGTTGCGAGGGGATAATAGCTCAAAAGATACTTGAAAATGGCGTTGCCCTTCCCCCTCCTTCCTCGTATTTGTGAAAGAAATTTACATTTGTACATTTAAAAAAAAATATCTGGTTAAATACTTTTTTTGCTTGCTCTGCTCCCTTGTTTTAAAGGGTTGATGTTTAAGATTTAGGAGTTAAATAAATGTCTATGTCTAAGGAGTTTATTGGAGTCCAGACCTTTGCAAGTTCCTTGAATTCCCGTCGAACATGTTTTCAAGGGTTAAATTAATGTCTGTAAAGGCCGGTTTACACTATGCATCTTGACACATGCATCTTGGATGCATGTGTCAAGATTCACAGTGTAAAAGCCCCTTGTGTCAAATTAAATGGGTGTTGCATCTTGAACGATGGAATAGAACTTGTTTTATTCCGTGCTTTAAGATGCATGGAACTGACAAATGAAAAGAAAGGTCAGAGTTGATATTGAATCATTTTTTCATTTAGTATCAAAAATAGCTTCCCAAGATACACAAAAACAGAAAATACTGATTAAGCCTACACTTAGAAAAACTTATTTGATTATTATGATATAGAGGAGTTTTTGTTTTGGAATAAATATGAATTATATCTTCCAAGAATTATCATAAAAAGGAAATTAAGAATAATTTGTTCAGCTAAAA